CCCTGAGCCGGTGAGATTTGAACCGCTGACCTGCTGATCTAGCAGTAGCCTGCAGTGCTGCATTTAACCACTGCGCCACCTTGGCTCTTAACAATGTGTTTAACCAAAAAGGATCCAATATTTGTTTGTTGAACCCAGTATTTTGTGTCCCACACTGGCCAACTAGATGCTTTTCTGAAGCACAATGGCAAAAATCAATGACCCAGTTCTATATTCTACTTTACTCCTTTTCATGAGGCCTGAATACCCAAACAGAACCAGCTACCAAGAGTCAAAGGCCAAATATTTGATTACTACATACAGTTCATAAGCATCAAGATAGAAGATAAGGTTGTCCTCATCATTCTTGATCTTTGATAATTAGAAGATAGATAGATAGACAGACAGGAAGACAGATTCCTTGCTCCTGATTTTGCTACGACAGTCAGACTAAAAATGCAAGAGGCAATATTGTGAGGCAGAAATAGTTCTGAAATGACATCTTTCATGATGACACCTTTATGTTAATTATTGCAAGAATTTCCTGAGTGACAAGCAGTGGTGGGATCAACCGGTGTAACAACCGGTTTGCTGAGCGCCTGCCGCACTTATTAGCTGGGCTTCAAATAAAGGAAATATAGGACAGACTAGCACAGGGGTGGGTTGGCGCAGCCAACTGATCGCCGGAACTACCAGTTCGCCTGAACCGGTCCGAACCGGCTGAATCCCACCCCTGATGGCAAGTATTCACTTGCAAGGGATAACAGATTTATTTGAAAACACCGTTAATGGGAATCGTTCTTTGACTTATTCTAAATTAAAAAACAGGAAAAACTGTGTAATTTGGCCTACAGGTTCTTAGCCAATCCAGTGTGCTCTGCAGTGCTGAAAAGTTTAGTACCTTCCGCCATAATGAAAGGGGTGGCTGTTTCTGCTTCCTTGAGCTCAGAGACTTTCAGTTCTTCTTTTTCTCCTTTTTCTTTTTCTTCTTGATGGATGCGACACTCTGCCTCTGCATCAGAAGGGATGTCATCTAAACACCCATCAATATATCAGGAATTGAAAAAAAAAAGAATTAAGATTTAAATTTTATACATATTTATAGTAACGTCATAACAAGGGAAGGGAATGGTGAAACTATGTAGGCTTTTGTCCCCTCCCCCTTCCTTCCTTCCTTCCTTCCTTCCTTCCTTCCTTCCTTCCTTCCTTCCTTCCTCTTTCTTT